GGGGGGGGGGGGGGGGGTGTTGGTGGTGGTATCAGGTATGTTATTCTCTAGGGATAAAAGAAACGCATAATGATCTAAGAGTTATTTGCAGGTAATTGAGAAGTGATTATTGTTCTACCTTCACGTAATCATTTACGGTACCTCCAGCCCTCCAAGATAAAAATCTTCCTGCAGAAGGGAGAGTATCAAGAAGTAATAGTTAAAATTTAAAATGAAATGACATTTCTCTATAATAATTGTTCTTCAGAAATCCTGCTGGCGGTGAGAGTGATTACCAAATGGCTGTACAAGGTGATGGGGCACAGTGGCAACAGAAGCCCTCCAAAACCAGCAAACCAGAACAATATATATCAAAACCTACACGACCACAAGATATTTACTTAAGAAAACATCCAACATATGAACACACACTTATTAGAAAATTCAGTAATAATATAATAACCTTTGATATCAGCAGTACTCGACTATATAAACCATATGACGACTTGATCTTCTTACTACGTGATTCTTGATCTGGAAGCAATGTCATTCAAATAGAATCTAAGGTGTAATCTGAAGCATGTTATTAAGTAATACTGAAGGGATGGGAAGCAATTAATGGCAGAAAACGACTGAAATAAAATGAACAGAAGTCAAGGCTACGCTATCTTGATAAATATGGCTATTTTACTGTTCTTTTATAACAATTTGCCTTCAAGATGCATTTTGAGTGATATTGAATTTTAGACAAAAGAAAAATACAAGTTCACGAAACATTACTCTCGCTAGTTGGAAAACTTGAAACAAATTATTGAAAACAGATAACCTTGGTAAATCCCATATATTATCAGTGCTTCACAAGTAACTGTAAAATGGTACCTAATAAGGGCCAAAAAAGGGAATTAATGTAACCAAAGAAATAGATACATAAACACACAACGTGACACAACATGAAAACATGGCAGTCAAAAACTACAACTACATACAATATTTCAGGAACAATTTTGGTCGATGTTAGATTCGAGGGATAAAAAGCATGTCATAACATACTGACATGAGTCAATCTACGTCAAACTCAAATCCTGTATTAGTTGGATGCCAACACTTCAATCACGAAGTGCTTTTAATACTTCACAATAGACCAGATCAAATTCTCCAATTTGCTTGGGCTGATGCCTACGTTCAACATGATTCCCAGAATAAGACCAATTTTACCAATGAGAAGTTGCTTTCAACTTGCTATGACATTCATAAAATTTCTTCGGTTCCCACCCATGCAGAAGAATACTACAGATCCGAGGTCATTCAAGGGACTCCACCCAATTCATAGGACCATAATTCATAATACGACATCATGACTTGCAGTATGAGCACCGTCTTGGATGAATTTGCATCCATAAATAACCAGTTCAATTGGAAGCAGTGGCAATCACATTTACCAGCATACACAGCCGTGTTACTGTTAGTTTAGAGCCTATAAACCATGGTTTCTTAAATTTGAGAACCAATCTTTTCAATGGTCAATAGCTAAATGGTTGCTTAAGCTCCAAATCCTGAGAATACTATATCACATAGCAGTCAATACTTCAAGCAATATCTTCAAGAACTGCTTGTGCATCGATGATTCATATAACAAACCTTACCATACTACAAGAGCAAAATTGTTTGCCTACCGGTTATCGATAAGAAGTTTTATAAAGCATTTCACAATATTCTTTTGACAACGCACCAGTAAAAAAAAAAAAAAAAAAAGACAACAACAACAGAAAAAGTAAATTGAAGGAAGATATGAGATTTTGGGGATCAATTAATTAGTCTCACAATTTGCCAGTTCCTTCTCCTTAGCGGCAGCCGATCTCCGAAGTTTTGCAGCTTGTGCAAATGTAGATGGTCTACACGAACGAAAAAGCAAGTGAACATGATCCCCAAGATAGTCATAAGAATTATAACCAATCGTACAGGATGAGTGATTTGAACCGAATTATGCACTTTTAACCTTGAACCGAGCTAGAGAAATTACGTACTGAGATAAGGTGCTTGCCTCCCTCAGAAGTTGCTTTATTGATTTGCGCAACTCCATTTCCACCTGGTTGTTGGAACCTCGCTGAACATTACATACATGATTGAAACACGATTGTGTCAAAACAAACACGTTGACAAGATTGGACGGACAACAACTATAACAATGCAAATTCTTAGATATTAAGAATGAAAATATCAACAGATCTCCAGATTGATTCCATCACGTCGTTAAACTAATCATCAAATCGCCACGTCTCCAATCCAATATCGTGAACTTAATGAAGCTCAGTTGGCTATATTGCATTCTGAAGTTTGTCAACGAAAAACTGAAACGCACTACAGTCCGAAATTTGAGGTAAAGCTCAAAATTAAACTATTAACGACAAGTTTAAGGTTGAAACGTAAGAACGACAGATTATACAAACATGAAAAGAATTCGGACGGAAAAAAGAAAATCAAGGAAAAGACGAACCTTCTTTAGGTGATCCAGCCATCCGGCGAGAAACTGAAAAGCAATGACGATCAAAAAAATGGACGGAGCCACAATCGAGTTCCGATGCTCTACGATTTCTTCCGCTTCCATTTCCGGAGGTTCTCTTTAGCGCCACCGTAAATTAACGAATCCAAAAATCTTGCGACGACGAAGGTTATTCAGGAAGAAGTTGGGCCAGGCATTGGGCTCCGTAATAAAAAATGGGCTTCAAATCCAAGGCCCAGCCCAAGTTGTTGGGATACAAAACGCAGCGTTTTAATGGAAGAAAGAAAATATCTTAACAAGAACAGAAGTTACAAAAATACCCTCAACTAGTGAGATCAATGATGACCTCAAGACGCGTTAATCGTTTTATCACGTTTATTCTGATAAGTTGTAAACAAGGGGAGGGACGATATGGAACGAGGGAGGGGCAAATCGGTCATTTCGTAGCAAAACAACGGGCTTTAACTCACGTGCCGGATCTGCTTAGATGGAACAATCCACAGCGAAGAAATTGCAAACAACACACAAAGGAAACACAAAAGAGCGGAAAGCAAAAGGGAAGAGGCAAAGAGGAGCCAATGAGAAACGAGGACGCGGATCGATGACGTGGCAAAAGATTTTTGAAATCCCGCCTAAACCCAGACTTCAATTGATCTCGCGATTTCTCTCTTTCTCTCTCTAGCGAAACCGACTCCCCCCCTTCATATCCCTCTCGCTCTTGCTCTTCAAAGCCTTTCCACATAACAGTGAAGCCAAATCCCTAACGCCAAACACGAACCAAGAAAAGCTAAATCTCCTTATCTTCCTCCCAAACCCTAGAGTTTTACAGGTAAACTCCTAATTTCTCCGCCGCTTGCAAGCTTCTTCTTCTTCGTCCGTCTCTCCTACGGTTTTTTAACCTATTTTTCGCTTGTTTTTCTGCAGGATTCGTCATGAAGGGCGGTAAATCCAAGGCGGCTCCTAAAAAGGCCGATTCTAAGTGAGTTCATAGTTAACTGAAGTCTTTTTTTTTTTTTTTTTTTTTTTTTT